CTGAAGAAATAGGCCGGTTCGCGGGGTCTACGCGCAATCTCGCGAAGCGTTTAAATCGAATCCGGGCCCTGCCACGCGTCAAAACTTGGTACCTTGCACCAGCGACTTTCTGAAACAACGCAAGGTGTTACAAGTTAAGCTGGCCATCATAAATCTCACGTAGACAGGCGACGATCGCGATGCGCACCGGTCGTGTCCTCTACCGATCGCGGGCGTTTGGAGGCAGACTAAGATGGTAGGTAACCACCTGAAGCGCCTGACGCGGCGATTTCGCCAAGCCTTTCAGAGGCGTTTAACCATCGTGCTTTATGTGGCATTTTAGCCCACATAAGAACGCGCGCAACGCAAGCCTGCTCTGAGGCAGCGGCTGTAGTGGCACTGTGCAGCATTGTCGCTGGCATGCAACGGCCACTACTAGCACGCAACTCTGAATGGGTGCTCAAATGCTTAAGCCTGCCCAGAAACAGGTAGACGATTTCGCAGCCGAGTTCGTGTTCGCTGTAAAGAAGCTTTGTTAAGATTCAGAGAGTGGTATCTTCTGTAAGGTTACAGGTTTGCCCAAACAATAACAACATATTTGCTTTACTCTCGTGCTAGCGTGTTTACGCATGGCGAACTCGACCAATAGAAATACTAGTATGCGTTTGTCTAGCTACGAAAATTACTATTACTGCTAATTTTGCGACTAGCGTAGCTTTTTAAGAACAGCTTACGTAACAATCGATAAAACATTATTCCGGCATGGTAGGCCAACTGTTTTCATAAATATCGTGCACATAGGTATAATCATGAATAATGTACACCCGCCACAATACACGGTTATCAAGAGCTTCCATAATACTAGAGTGTACAACAGGCAAGACGGCGAAAATACGTGTTATTTACACGGGCAATAATTATTACTAACTTTGTAGGGAAATCATTGATGGAGGTGCGAACGGACGGACGTGAGGCCTGTGGGAGGAGAAGTTTAACGAGCAATCGTCTCAGCCTAGAGCTATCGATGACAGGGGGGGCGCCGGTTGTATCATTGTTTTTGAGAGCAAGAATTCCTGCTTAATGCAATACCATAAAATTAGCTCTTGCAGGCAAGTAAATAATATGCGCGTGAAATAGCACTATCTTTGTCCGTTTTCGCGTTATACCCACCTTGAAGGCTTACTTACATTCCTTTACACCTCCTAATAAAGTAAGTGGCGTCAATACCCAAAATATCCGCTGTCTGGTCTGTCTCGGGGGCAATTATAATATACTATAATACTCATCTTATATATCTATACATATACTACTATAGTATATACTCAATTTAATAAATAGCCAGGGGAGCGTAATAAGACCTAATCAGAGCCTAATAACATATGGCAGGTACATATATATTTATTATATTATTCAGCAACTCGAAAAGTCGACACGTTGAAGAGAGACGAAGAGAGAGAGAGAGAGAGAGAGAGAGCGAGAGGAAAAGATGTGCGTGCGTGTGTGTCATGTGTGTGTGCTGTGTGTGGAGGGGGCGTGTTGCTCGTGTGTGCGTGTGTGTGTGTGTGGTGTGTGTGTGCGTGTGTGAGTGCATGTGTGCTGTACTTAGTAGTGTGTGTGTGTGTGTGCTGTGCTGTGTGCTGTGCGTTGTGTTGGGTGTGGTGTGCGTGTGGTGATGCGTGTTTGTGTGTGTGTGTTAGTGTGCGTGGCGTGCGTCGCCGTGCGTGTGTGTGTAGTGCTGTGTGTGTGTGTGTAACGTGGTGTGCTGTATGTATGTGTGTGTGTGTGGGTGCGCGTGTGTGTAGGTGTGTGTGCGTGCGTAGCGCTGCGTGCGATGTGTGAGTGTCAGAGTGCGTGTGTGTGTGTGTGTCGTGTGTGTGTGTGTGTGTGTGTGTGTGTGTGTGTGTGTGTGTGTGTGTGTGTGTGTGTGTGCGAGAGAGAGAGAGAGAGAGGAGGACCTGCGATATGCTTGACCTCTATTTCGCTCGCATCGGCCGTGCGAAATCAGCTGACAGTGTGAATTTCGGCCGAACCTCCCGTCTGATTATCCGCACTTAAAATTGGATTTGCGCGGCTTAGATCCCACATGACAAGCCACAGATGCGGGGAGAGACAGCGGGGTGGGTGGGGGTGGGGGGGACCCCCGAAACAGATTTGCCACAGCACGCGATGTACACGCACGCGCGCACGTCACGTTGCATATATCGCACATGCGATCGTCGACCGTCGTCGTCGGCGCTCGAAGCGTCAAAAAAAAAAGGTGCGAAATATTTAAATGCATCGACGAAACCAGTTGGTGGGTGGGGGGGGGTCGATGAGGTCGAGTTCATCGTGATGTAATAGAACAGCATCGTCCGCTACGGGCGTTGTGTCGGAGTTCGCTGGTGGTGGTGGTGGGGGGGGTGTTTGCGGGCCCGTACTGCCCCGCGGGGTGATGCCGCAGCAGCAGCCGTCTGCGAACATCACTTGCCGCGTGTTTAATTATTTAGCCGCGTAACGTGTCGAGAGAGCGGCTAGAAAAGCGCGATATCATCGATTGATCAGTGTGCGCGTGAATAAAACTACCTCATAGGTTGATTGCGTGTGCGCATACATACAAGTAGTGAATATTAGCACAATAATTGCATCATTGTTCACTTCGCACTCGCGGAGATCCGCTGGCCTGGATTCTCGCGCCTTGTTGCCGTCGAACGCGACGAAACAGATAAATAAATGTATGTATAATAAAGGGGAGACAGAGGGAGAGTTTCCACTTCGTATAAATACATTTACATCTGGCGTTTACATTATGTACTGTTGAAGTGTTACATGCCGTATGCCTGCCGAACACGATAAGCGTGACTTCCATTCATATGTAGATCAGCGCTGGACGGTGTGGGGACACAATGAAATCGACATCCTGCTTTCGAACATTGATTTATTAAAATTGAAACCTCAGTCGCAACGCGGAGAATATTCGGATGAAATTCACGCCGTATGTGCGAAGCGCGTGTAAATTATTTATCCATGCGCCATTATATGAACACTGTGGCTGCATGGCGGTGAACACATGTGCGCGTATATAAGCAGGCCGGCAGCGCTTGGTTTTAAGTATGTTCAGTGCGCTCGCCCATTATTATGGTCTGGACAAAACAGGTTTATTGCTATCCGGGGACTTGCCATTAAAATATTTATATTGTTACGTAATGTATTTCCCCCTATGAGCCTGCGTATATGTAGACGATATATATATATATATATATATATATATATATCAGTTCTATTAATTCTATACGCCTTACAGCGGATTGCAGGACTTTGTTTTCGTTAGTGTCCAGACAGCATCGACGAGCTAAACAGCCATAATAAGGCCAGCTACCGTATTCGATTGTTCTCTCAAGAGCTCCGAGGTATTACTTACCTGTACTGGCACGCGTGCGGCTGCTGATGCCGAGGGCCCGATATATAATGATCTATATATATAGAAGCTAAATCGGCTCGTACAAATTCTTCGTCTCGGGAAACAGATGTAAATTTAAGTTGTCGAGGTCTGTATGTATCCCATGACTGTTTATATACTATATATAATGATAGATATTAGGTATACTGTATATATTATTAATTATTATACATTATAATCTATTATATATATATATATCTATATACTATACTATATATATATCATCGCTGTGATTCTGTGTGTGTAAATATAGTGATGTTGGAGATCTGAAATGTAGCATAAACGGTGAATATCGTGTGGAATAAACAGCACGGCTATTCTAGGCTATATCCAGTAACTATATGCTACCAACCGGCTTATATGCAGACACAATTAATGAAGGTGTTTATTAATTCTCGCTCGCGTTCGATATAAAATTGTTAATGCGCCGAGAGTTAGGCAATCTATCCACCGCCCTATAACAGCGCCTCTCCGCGGCAACCTGAATCAGAGTTAAGCGGCGTATAAATATCAACTTTTATAGGAATTCGGTTTGCCATAAGATACGAGTGCGCCTATAAAGCTCGCGGGCGCACCGTTCGCACTCGCGTTCATTCCTAACAAATTCAGCGAAGCGTGAAAACGCACAAAAACCTCGCTGTATCACGCGCGTGTCAGCCCCGAGGAATCACTATACATATGCTTCTCACTCATTTTATATCGTGCACCGTAGCAACTCGAATCAGCAACAAAGTCCGTAGGAAAGAAACGTGCGAATGTTGTACGCTAGATATAGCGATGTGTTAGTGCAGCAGATGCCAACGCACCCGACGGGAGAGCGGACCGCGGCATGTCGAGTACGGATGTCGGCCGCTAGAGATGAAACTCATCATAAAGTCTGCGATGTGTTTATACACGACGGCGCAAATGTGCCGTACGTCGGCAAAGCAATATCGGAAAGAACGACGGTGGTTGGAAATGCTTGCTAGCAGATAAGATATATAATATATAAGATATATATATCTATAATATATATAAGAATAAATAATATATATATATATCCTAAGGGTAAAATAATATATATATACCTATTAGTCTTTAATATTTTTTATATTTATAGAAAGCTCTTAATTGGCAGTTTATCATATATATATATACTATATATATATAATGATATATATATATATGATAAACTGTGCGAAATTAAACTTATCTCCATAACCCAAAATAAACTAGACAAGTAAATGATTTATTAATTACCCAATACACGTGAGAGTGCGGCTGTAATTAGCACGCGCTCGCCGTGCATTGATAATTGTCCGCATAACGGGTAAACTTAATATTTCATAACGATCGCACTGTGAGCGATCGAGCGATATTATAAATACATTACTAACGGCTTCACAAAGGATGCCCGCTGTAAACGGCAGCTCTGCCGGTATATAAATCATCATGCGCGAATACGGCCGAGGAAACGCTGGAAGCTGGAAGGATGAAACAGCCTAGGAAACGCGGGAAGCTAGAGGGATGAAACAAACTAGGAAACGCTGGAAACGGTGGGGATGAAACAGCCGGTGCTAAGATATCTATCTCGTATACTACTAACCTGTGTGCGTTCTTTTGTGTATCTTGAGGTTTTCACTGCGCGCGAACACCTTTCCGCATCCGGGGAACGGGCACGGAAACGGCTTCTCTCCCGTGTGGACGCGAATGTGATTCACTAGTTTGTATTTTGCCTTGAACGAGCGACCGTCGCGTGGGCAGTTAAGCCAGTAGCAGGCGTGGTTCGTACACTCGGGCCCGCCGACGTGCTCGACTGTCAGATGCGTGACGATCTCGTGCATGCTTGTGAACGTCTTATTACAGGGCTTCTTCGGCGTCGGCTGGTCGGGATCCTCCCAGAGGCAAGAGAGCTCCTGTTTGATCGGCTGTCTCATGTAGCGGAAGAAGGCGCCCGGGGCGTGATGATGGGCCATGTTCATCGCCGGATGATGGTTCATCAGGTTCATATGATGGTTGGCAAACGGGTCGCTGCGCGGACTCGTCATCTGGCCGAATTGGTCCTGACGCGAGTACATGTCGTGAGAGGGAATGCCCAGCTTGTGTCCGCCCGTTGTCGGGTCGGCGATGCCCGGAAAAAGCACGTGCGACGATACGGGTTCGACCTGGCCGTGAGGGTGATGTAGACTAGTCGCCGACTGCGATGCGAACATGCCATGGTGACCGTTGGAGGTTTCGTGCGTCGGCAGCATGTGATGGTCCCGCCGAAGAAGGAAATCGCGTGCGGCGTAGGAACCGACGTGTCCGTGGTGCGAGTAGCCGTTCGGTTGCGGGTTGAATTGGTGCGCCTGCGAGTCGTGGGCTTGCGGGCTCAGCTTGAAACCCATGTGTGCAGCGTGCGAGGAGTCCATAAACGGGTTAATAACATCTGCCTGCTCGCTGCTATGGTGTAATCCAAAGCCATGCATGTTGTTATGATGCCCGTGGTGTGCGTCCATTAGCCTTAATGCTGGATTCCTTTTTCCCAGTCCGGGGTCCATAATCTGCGCTGTCAGAGCTTCTGTCATGCTCTCACCAGTTTGCCACAGAGCCAAATAAACTTTACAGGCAACAAGCTGTCTTTACTATTCCCTGAAAACACAAGTTTGTTAGGGCCGCAGCGTGAGTGGGCACGAAGGGGCAATTACGCTCTATGCCCATTGGCTCCTGCAGTTTGATTGACAGCGAGAGGTGCGAACATTCGCGCTGGCGCATGCGTGCGCACCTATCCGTGAAGATTCGTACATGTCAAATAACTGAGACGATGTCGACATCCAGCTGCGAATGTCTTGTTTTTTGGAGCTAAATACGCGTGTTTCAATGCTTTTCGTAAATGAGGCTTATAGCAATCGAGTTGCCTTATCAGCGCGCGTACGTACATCAGTGAAACTATGCGATTCGTCGCTGGCTATAAACGCACTACTCTACGAGCGGAGAGGACAAGAGAAAAGCTCTCGTCGATGCTATCTCTGCCTCAGCAGCATTGCTCTCTCGCAGCGCGTGTTTCATTCATCGCCGACTCGCTCATCCTTAACAGGTGCGCTTCGTGGCAGGTCTACTAAACTCACTCCTGTCAAAATCCATGATTTCATTCGTCTTTGTTGCGCGTGCGAGTAAGTAAGTAAAAACTCTCTCTCGCGCGCAGCCCAACCAGTCCGCGAACGTGGAATGCGCCGTGCTTAGCAACCAACTCGCACTTATAACAATCTCGTTCGACCATCATTATATTTTCGCGTGTAGCGGAGAGTGCTGTTCACTCGTAGACGTCTTAATTCCGCGCAACACAAAAAGTGTTAATTTCGGCCGGAGGCGTTAAGAAGACGTATCGACGAAGCGTGAACGTAAAGATTTCTATATGGTTCGGTTAACATTTAACAGCATCGCGCGTATATACAGCGAGCACAATCCACCCCACAGCGCATCAGCGTTATATTAACTCTCTCTACCTGTCTGCTGTACCTTCTCACACCTCCGATCGGCTACTTGCGCGTAGTAAAAAAAAGTTGCCACCTGATTAGCGGGGCGTGTATACGTTCGTAACGCGCACACAACGGTCGCTCATCGCCGAGAACGACCGATCGATCGAGATCCGAACAAACGTGGGGTGGGGAAATCGAATCGGGATCGACCCCCCCCCTCCCCAAATCCCGTCTTTTCTTCGGCCTACTCTCCGGGGGACAAAGACGTGGGTCATTTGTGGGCATCGTTGCGACAAACGCCTAGCTCGCTAAGCCGCGTCAATGGTAGGGGCAGGCTCGTGACATAATGCGGACAGTGGTAGAACAAGATGATCAGAGCGCAAACTTGATCGGCAGCGACCTCCCTCTTGCTATGATTTGTGCTAAAAGGCAACCCCTCTAATTAAGGGCATTACGCGTCCCGCGAAAATCACTGTCCGCCAGTTAGTCCGCCGTTGTGTGTCGCGCGCTGTGCGAACATGTAACTAGTAATGGGTGGGTGGGGGGAAGGGCTGCTTTATCATTCTTTCCGTACTGCCTTTATCAGTTCGCACCATCTCCGAGAGTAATTGAAGGAGAGGGAGGGACAAGTCGTAACGGCTTGAGGCAACACGGACGCCCACCCACCGGGCTGAGCGACCACTCACGGTAAGCCTGCGCAGCACACACCCCCCCCCACCCCCACCACCACCACCCCCCCACCACACCCCCACCCCCACCTGCATAAGCGATGTCCGCGAACTTCTATCGTCGATGCATCTGTTACCGTTGTTAACGATACGCGCGGAAAAGCGTGTGTTGTAAGCATGCAGGTGTGAACTTGCTACTGACGCATGCGTTGCTGGCACGTGCAAAATCGAGGTCTTAGAGAAATTAATCTATTTTCTCGCCAATTAACCCCAACATTAAACTAGGTATAGGTAAAAAAATGTTTTGAGTTTTAGACGGTGTAATTCGTTGCACACAATCCGTGTTTACGCATGTCGTGAGCGGTTTAGTTGATGTGCGACAGGCACAAGCTATCACACTGCTGCCCACCGTCACCTATAACATCCGAACACAAACTACGCTTTACGTAGTTGTGTAGCATTACTAAGAATAGCAAATTTGCATCGTGTCATATCATAGAATCATCGGCTTTTCGAATCATCGAGTTATTTCTTGCGTGAGTTTAGAATAATCTCTTGTTTAGTTACTTGTTGCGGTCGTTACACGTGAGCTGTCAACATGATTCCCATATACATCGCTGGGAACAGAGAGAAGAGAGCAAGAGAGAGAGAGAGAGAGAGAGAGAGAGAGAGAGAAGAGAGAGAGAGAGAGAGAGAGAGAGAGAGAGAGAGAGAGAGAGAGAGA